AGAAAGAAGGTGTGGTGTGAGAGTGCTCAGTACAGAAAACAAATAACTAATTATAAAACAACGAATGCTGAAAGGACAATGTGTCTGTGCTCATTAAAAACTTTGAACGCTGACAAGCTCGACTTGTTAGATAGTACAAAAAAAATTAAAGGTCATGAAACAGTCGTGAACAAACCACGCAGCCGAAAGACCGCGATTGTGTAAAGGTCGAGGTGCCAACGTGCAAGGTTAGTGTGAGTATGACAACGCTCATTGTCGCATAGCAGCTACCATATTTATACACGTTCGCGCTGAAGCCGAAAAGGCAGCCTGTGTATATATATTGCAGCTGTTTAGACTGATGGCGACGAAAAGAAGGATAAAATCACTGCAGAAAATACCACCTGATAAACTTATCACCACAATGACTGGAATGACAAACGAAACTAGAAAAGTTTTAAAAGTACATCGCGAGCGATACAATTAACTACTTCAAAAATCACAGTTATACATATGCTAGGCTGCAACAAGCAGACAGTACAAGATAGCACGATCGGTAGACGGGCTCGAAATTCGCGCTCACAGTGGCCGATCGATTTATAACGACAAAGCAGTGCGCATGCGACAATGCCAAACGAATAGCTACAATCGGCTAAACACACAAACTGCACAGAACAAAGAAATTGCGCGCACCTCTACGGTACGACTGCGGATGCACAAAAGAAAAAAACGATCACCGTTTCTCCACTACTGTATAGAATACGGACGTGTATGTGTTGTCTTACTTGATACTTCGCAGCAGACACGTAATTATACGTCACAACCCTATACATGGCGTTATGAAGCCGTCAACAACGACACAACGAAACTGGGACTCGCAATCGAAAATTCGCAACAACCTCGCAAGAAAGCTCACACAGTTCGTAGAAAGTCCGTAGGCAATTTTCGCGGATGCTTAAAGGTTGCCGATAGAAATCTTCCTAGATCCCGTTCATAGACACAATATTCACTCAAACCGAAATTGAATATTACACAAGAATAAGTTGGTTATATCCAAAAATTCGTTATAATTATATATTGTCAGCACTATTTATACTGCGCGACAATTAATTTCATTCGTTATAACCAATATATTGTTACGTCTGAGTTTCTTATATCGAAGTTTGAGTGTAGTTCACTGCAGAGTGTTTTAATGAGTCTTGTTTAAGCGCGGACATTACACGTGGTCTCTAAGATATCTCCATTGCCTTAAAGATCCCGATACAGTGATCTACAGTAGGTCTACAGCCAATCCATAGACTGTGCAAGTCATCTCACGCCTATAGGGCTCTAGAGGAGGCGAGGAGTGAGTGAGAATTTGACGGAGGCTTCTCTCGTGGGAACCTAAAACGGCTCCTCGAAAGTCGTTACCAAAGTACCTAAAGAAAATCCAAACTACAGTCTCCAAAGCCTCTAGTCCCTGGGAGAAATAGCATCTAGGGACTTAAGTTACAAAACGTTTCGCATCTCGCGGAGTGCCATCAATGGGGACGACACAAGAAGCGGTAGTAACTTGCTGGCGAGACGAAGCCGACGCTGCGGTAGGAGTCGTTTTTCACAAGCTCGTTAGATAGTTGATCAATTTTAAGCGACTACGGATCTTTAGGAGAGAAAAGCACGCCGGTATATCAAACCAAATAAAAAAAACTGTAGTCTACAATGTGATGCACACGTGTTATTTACGTATTCAATTAAAAAAGGTGAAAGCTTAGGTTGTAGGTGACAGAAGCTGATCAGGAGAAGAAGCTAGCTTGAAACACGTTAACGTATAAGGTAAGCCGATGAATCCTCCTAAATTTCAGTTTTCTTCGCTCGATATTCAAAACGCAGATATAAGTGATGCTTAGAGAATTGTGCACATACAAAATGATTACCTAGACTACCCTTTACCTTTCACAGTGGCGGCCACAACTTTAGGCCGAAAACGTTAGGAGATGACCCCCGCGCTAGCTGAAATCATAAAACCTTAGGGGCCAAGCTGGCAGTGTGGAACGTTCATTACAAAGAACACTCTCTGTGCTTTTGTTTCAGTACAACAAAATATTTCTCGCCCTCGTCCGTCGTAGTGCTAAGGGCAAAACTTGATATCCGAGTTACGTACATCAATGTTTGCGGCTGTGAAATTGTTATCTGGCAAAACGAGGCTGTTACAGACGTTATCTTTCACGAAAGCTTCTTCATCCGTACAAACAGTGATAAACTCTCGCGACTAGCTCTTTGACAAAGGTCAATATTATGTGACGTGATGCATGCCACGAACACTTCTACAAATATTGATGCAAGGGCGTGCACTTAACAACAACAGAGCATAAATGTGCAAATTAACTCGTATTGGCTTAAGTGGCTTATAATATAAAAACTATAATATAAAAAAGCTTTTGGCTCTCCTTAAATAAGTCTCACGAATTGATCGCTCTTCTTGAATATTTTGCTAAGTATCTGAACATTCTCAGGAAAGCTATCCGTAGATATTTAACTTTAGGGTTACAGGGGTTACACCTCGTAGTCGATGATAAAAGTGAACCAACGTTAGTCTTTTTTATAAAGTCCCGACTGTGCGTGGGGTAAGTCAGTAATAAAGTTCGTGCCGTCAAACTGGGGTCCGCTATACTTCTTGAAAACTGCGGACCTTGACATGCCCCTCAATAAAGGGAGTCAATATAGTGACCCATTCGGACAGGTTAATCTTGTGGGAATGACCCACGTCACTGAAATTTTGTTGTTCACGCAAAATTAATGTTTCTAGTTTTTTATTAGAGCGTGGCAAGGTTCGTTCAATTACGACATACAGATTTATGGCCCTCCCAATATATATGCGCCACCGTCGCTCTGCTGCAAACGTTGTGCTTTGCTGCAGTGTATGGTCTGCCGCAGTAATCACACCTATGCCTTCCCTCCTTTAACCCCTCCCCCCTCCCCTTCCCTAAAAAAAAGGAAGTGCATTTAAACCTTTATGAAGTGCATATCATCCGACGTCTCATGAATCATGCTCATGAATGATGAATCATGCCTGCGCACTATATTCTGCAAATTTTAACTCAAGCATTTTTGCCCCTCCTCCCACCTCCTTTTTTTCTTGCTGTATATCAGCTTTTTGTCGTAAGCTCGTATCAAGGCCTATCCCTAAAACTATCGACAATAATTCAGGAATTTTTAACGCGTTGATTAATGATTTGAAGTGCTCTTGATTTACATGTAAGCTGCGTACGCTTAAGGCGACGTAATTGCGCATTATCTCGATTCCCCCCCCCCCCCCTTTTTTTTGCTTCATTCTTTTTCTGACATCAAATGCTCTATTAATGTGCACGAAAATGGAAAGTAACGACAGAAAGCGTTTGCGTAAGAGATCACATCATGGCAGCTAAGTACTAACAAAACTTTTAGCAGGCCGCAAGTGTTTTGCTCTGAGCTCAAGGTAGCGTGCTTTTAATACAAAGCCGACATGTCCCATCCAAAGTTTTGTTAGTTTGGCCTTTAACTAGTAGTTTTCTAACGAAACGTGAATGAATAACGACTCACGACAAAAAATCACTCTACCCAGTGTACTAAACAGCGACCTTCCGTGACATGTCTCAGTACACAGTGCCACTTAGTTTACCAACAATTACTCATCAAGGCAGTGCTCACTATAGTAAATTCAGTTTTCTTAATTTTCTAATATAAAGTGCGTTCAATAATGGACGTTCCCTAACTCCAACTCACCTCAACCGCAGCATCGTTCGCTCTCCGTCTGAAACGTCGTTAAACGTTGCGTATATGCGCCTCTCACGTACGGCGTTATACCATGTAGCTCAACGTTCTAGTAACGTTGATGTAGCCGTCCTGCCCCCCGAATCACACTAATCTCCTCGCCTCTCTAAAAAAGCCGTGCAAAAAACGCTGGATGGTTTAGTGCCCACGTATATTGCAAGTCGTTCCACGTAACGAGACACACTTGACATAGAATTGCGCTAGCGCCGTCCACACGGAGACGTCTATCAACGCGTCCAGTCGGCATCGCCACAGGCAGCTCTTCAGTTTAGAGGCATGCAGGTACAGTCTGTTCCCGCGCTATATGCTTGCCGACCGGTAACTTGTCGACTTAGCAAATATTTCAACAGCGCAAATTGTGAACACGCACAGAAGACCAAAGACGCAAGGACGAGCGCTAGCGCTCATCCTGGACACGTCTGTTCTCTTGTGTGTGTTTTTATAAATCATGCGGGAAAGATTACCAGTTCGATCCACCAACATTCTCGCATTACCGATTTCATAACCATCGACGTCGGCTGCGTGATACAGCCGATTCGTCGTGCGCAAAACAGATCAACAAGGTAAAAGCGACGCCCAAGACTGGCGCGTAAGGCAGACACCCAGTGTGGTTCGGTTTTGATACAGCGAGCGTCTCGCGTTGACACAGCTAAGCCTCGCGAGCGAAAAGCAATCGCGTCAGCGCACTCACTGCCTAGCAATGCATGAATGATTGTGCTCTCTTACGGAGCATGGTACGCTTGTTCGTACAACGCAGCGCCAGGGCTGTTTGATGCGCTACAGCTTTACGTGGGGGCGCTGCAGTGTAGTTAGGCCTAAGGCGTCTCGTTGCTAGCGTTCCTCGCGCAGGAAGGCGACAGCGTCCGCTGTTCAACCCAATATGGCGGCCGCATGTTCAGTGGGTGTCACCATCCTGTGTTTAGTGTACAATAATTATGAACCGGAACACTATATTGATTGGCGAAAGAACGCTAGCGCTGGGGCGTCCCTGAAACGCTAGCATAAAGGCGTCCAGGGAACGCTGGCATCGAGCCGCCCAGGACTGGCGTGCCGCGCCGTTGAGGTGTTGCGACGCGCTGGGCTGCAGCCAACTTGCTGCGACGAGAACGGAGGCGAAGTATTCTGCGTCGACGACGTCGGTGGTCGTGACGTTGGCAGCTACGGCCAGCCTTGCTCCGGTCGTTCGGGTGCAACGCGCCAAGCGCGCACGGCCATTTTACAGGTTCCACCATGACAAAAAAAAGCGGCCTATTGTTTCTGGCACTCTCATAGCACCGTGTCGAGGATGGCCAGTGACTTCATCACGTTCTCGTCCTGCAAAACAAGTGAAGGGGACAGCTGAGTGCGCAATATATATTTTTATCATTACTTGATTCGATCACAACTGATAGATAGATAGATAGATAGATAGCTAGCTAGCTAGCTAGCTAGCTAGCTAGATAGATAGATAGATAGATAGATAGATAGATAGATAGATAGATAGATAGATAAAATAAAATTTTGAATAAATGGCGGCACGGTGAGACGACCAGATAATTATTAGTAAAGGCTAACCATTATTTAAATGTTATCTCAAAAATGTTACGTGTATGTAATAAACCACTGGACTATACATCAAAGAGTATCTTATGTCCAGTGGTTGCTCAAAACAAGCAGCATTTCTTACCAAACTGCGTGAACATGTTTCCAAACAACTAAGCATGCATTTGTAAATTGTAAACACAAATCTTTTTTGCACAAAATCACGGAACAATGAGTACACAAGGAACACGCTTACACACTTTCAAATGTGTTGTTCAGTGCCGCCCTCATCGAGCTGAACTAAGCTCTGGGACACGGCAGAGGGAGTAGCTAGAAAAGACGAAATATCTACGTTTCCAAACGCTTAGGTTGTCGGTGATACTTGGACAAGTGGCCCGTGAAGTACATGTTTGGAGTTACGATTCAAATTTCTGCTCTAACGCTCACCTTTAAGCAAGTTTCGATGAACTCGTCGATGGTCACAACACCGTCTTGATTCAGGTCCAGTTTCTGCGAGACACATAGGACACGACACATCAAGCAAAAGTCCAGGAGAATGCGGAGACATAAATAAGTAAGAAGTTCACGCCAGCCACGTAAAGCTTAAGAAAAAACAATGCTGGTTGATTTTATGTGCTCATCATGACCTCCTTGGCTGAACTCTTTCCATAGCGTAGACAAAATAAAGTTGAAGCACAGCCTGTCACAAACCATGGCAGAACGTCTAAAATCCAGCGTCGACACTAACGTGTGAAGCTGGCTATGGCACCCCGGATATGTAGAAGCGCGGGCCTTTAGTCCCTAGTACTCGGCTAGCGCGGCGGCTGCATGGACTGTCCTCATCGTTGAATGTGACGGATAAGCAACGACGTTAAGGGAGATTTCGCGGACAGCTGGCGTTTTACCCAGAGCTTTAAGAGTAAAACTGTTATTTAATACATAAATGCTAAGAAAGAAAAAAAAAAAACGTGGCCATTGTCATTTTTCTTTGCTGGTTTACGTAAGGTAGGCTCTGTTCCAATAATAGCATATTTGCAGTGGTGCACTCTTTACAGGAGGTGCTACATTCGGTATTGCTCGGGCCAAGCCGAAAGCACGAGGAGAAGAAGAAGAAGAAGAGGAAGAAGAAGAAAAAAAAATCGTGCACTTGCTAAAGCCAAAGTATTTGCTACTCCCAGTATGAATTACAATAATAAATTGGTTGCATAAAATCACGTAAGCTTAAGAAGTGTCGATCGAAGAAAGAAATTGTCGACCAACCAATCGTAGAAAGAAGCTAGAAAAGAATTCTGTGCGCATGACATAACCAAAAGTTTTTTGTTGACCAAGAAGTCGATGACCAAGAACTTTTTTACCGTGCACCTAAATCTAAGCACATGTGTCTTCTTTGCATTTCACTGTCATCAAAATGCGGCCGCCGTAGCCGGAGATCAAACCCACGCCCTGGAGCTTTGGAAGTCGAGAGCTTTTGCATGAACTGGACAGCCTTACTTCGTGAAGTTAGTATATATTTAATGACACTCCGCTATGAAAGGATTGATGCTTTTTTTTTCATTATATAACGACGATTTTCTAAATTCTTGCCTTCACGCCACATGGCGCACCAGTGGATAGGCTTACCTGGAAGACCCTGTTGGCGTGGTCCCTGACGGAGTCCGGATCGTCATCGTCTGGCCCACCGCCTCCCGCCCCCGCGGAGGAGGCCCCGCCCCCCGCACTGGACGAGGGGTGGGAGTGGTGGTGGGGGGCGCCCACCAGGCTGTGGATGGAGACGATGACGTCCGTCATCTCGTCGCGCGAGATGATGCCGTCGCCGTTCAAGTCGTACAGCTGGAACGCCCACCGAAGCTTGTCCACGGGCGCCCCGCGCGAGAGCGCCGACAGGCCCACCACGAAGTCCTGCGCCCACCCCCGAAACGACAAGGCCAACTTTCTCTCTGGCCGAAGCAAGGCCGAAACCATAGAGTTTCCCAAAATTAACTAGAGGGCACTTTGGCGCTGCGATCGTTCAGCGACCGTGGGAATGATGGGTAGTACACACGTTTGCTTAGTCTTCGTGCTTGCGGGCGGCGAATCGTACTTGCGGCTTCGTTTATTGCTTTGTTTCGGTTTCGTTTTGAAAGAGAGAACGAACCCTTTTGAACTTAGGGACTTGATTCGAAATAGTAAGCTTAAAAGAATAAGGTTGCGAAGCACAAACGGTGAACATTAGCTAATTTATGTTTTCGTGAAAAAACAGCTCCAAGCCACACGAACACACACGGAGCCAGAAGCAGGCCAGAAGTACGAAAATTAGACAAATGTGTGTACTACCCATCATTTCCATGCTCGTTGAAGTGCCGTTCGTTGCAGCTCCCATAGACACTAGCGCCAGAGTTCCCCCTAGTTAGTATTGTGGGAAACTCTATGGCCAAAACAAACCGCCCACGCATTCGACGCCTACTCACATACCGACTAGCGTACCAAGAGGTATCGCGGCAACCCTACGACGCTCATTCTCACTATGACAAACCATGAAGTCTTGCGGCCACAGCAAAACGACTTTGGTTTATTCCAGGATGGATGTGAAAGCAAAGTCTTCCGATCGCGCAGTCTTACGTAGTGGACGCTTTACTCACACACTAGCCCGAGTACCACGATGTCTTGCGCCCATTCATTGGACGCAGACACTAATTCTGCATAAAGTACAATTGTTCTGCTACTAACCAAAATATGACTATTTTCGCTTCGAATATTTTAGCTTCTGAGCATAAGGTTTTCTTGGGTACTTCCATACTACCTTTTTTTCGAATTTATTTTATATCTCTCTATATCTATCCTCTTTCCGACCCTTTTCCCTACCCCCGTACAGGGTAGCAAACCAGTTCGTCTAGGTTAACCCCCTGTCTCTTCCTTTTATTTATTTCTCTCTCTCCCCACTGACCTTCCGCAACAGGGTATCATATTGTCAGCCATGGCGTCTGACCGGATTCATATTGTCTCGAGTACAAGACTTCTTTACCTGGCCCCTAACCGGAAGTAGAGTGAAGACCCAAAATGAATTTATTATAGGGAGGAAGGGCGTTAATTATAACCGGAAGCAATAAAACATTTTGTGTTGCTTGAAAGTGGGCATACCACAATTATAAGTGGCCATCAAAAAGTGCTCGCGATCTGAAGTGTAAACCGGAAGTGAACATCATACAGAAATCAGAAAGCGCTAATGAATTTTAGGGTGAACGTTAACTTAAGACCTGAAAGTAGCGTGACAAACCAGTGCTTACAAAGTTCCTGATAGTTTTGTGCTACAAAGAGATGGATTGTATTCTTTTTTTACCTTTTGTGAACATTCTTCTACATTGATTGCTTCAGCAGAACTGATTCGCGACACCTCTATTACTGCACCCCAGGCTGCCCGTTAACTTTACACTCTTCTAATGGTTGGTAAATAATGGTCATCATAACTATTGTACTACGTCTCTGAACGGTTCTTTGGTAAAAACTGTAATGAGACGGAAAAGACTTTCAGGACACGAATCAATGATTTCAGTCGGCACACAACGACAACAATCATAAGTTACCTCATCGCTTACCTGGAAGGTTATTGTACCGTTGTGGTCCTGGTCAAACGCCTGGAACAAGTAGTGCGCGTACTGGCTTACATCTGCGAGGAAGGGAAGCCATCGATGCACCATGTCAGCTTCCCACTGGGCGCAATTATAGCGAGAAATCGGGGGCAGCACACAAGATGTGCAGCTATGTTGCCTCAGACGATGCGTGCTGGCAATATTCAATGAGTAGCTGATTATTTAAAACAAAAAGCTCACATTGTCTTTTATGCATTTACCTAATATGACTCGACGACGAAATACTACCCTACCCACCTAATCCTATCCCACATCTTCTAATTTTAATCTAGTTGTATTCTAGTTACAATCTTCTAGTTCTTACTTTATCCTACCCATCTCCGTAAGCTTTCTGCAAACTGCATGTTTATGCATTACGTTCAAGATCGGAGACATTGCAAGTTTTCTGCACACAAACTCGTTTCACAATGTCTTCGTGATTGGTATAAATTTGAAATTGCGATGGTGTCTACATGCGTCGTCACGACACCTGGCGCCATGATGACATCATGAAGAAACCACAAAGTTTTGTCCATATGTGACGTCATGCGGTGACGTAAACACTTTGCGACGATTTCTCGCATCACTCGAGTCGACGTCCACAGTGCGGGTAGTCACCAACGGTCAATTTCGACAAATGGGTCGATTGGTGGTCATTGACTAACGATCGCCACAAATGATGAATCGTTTCCAATGATCCGCGGAATTCCAAGGTTCCGTCTTTTAAAAAATAATTAGGAGGCTTAGGCTTCGCCTTTGAGAGTGGAATGCGATAGTGTTAGTGCCATCGACGACACCGGCGGCGACACGGGCTCTATGGCATCTCGCCGTAACGGACGTAAGGGCAGCTTGCAGTGCTTGCGGATGCCACACATCGAGCATCCAAAGTCGACACGACCAACGTTTCAGCGACAGCGTTTGTCCCTGCCCGTATGCTGCCCATAGGCTGTGCTGTCCATATGAAGACCACTCCTCAAGCTGAAATGATGGCTGTAGCAATCACAACGATGCAAACGCCGGGCTAAAAGCAGTAGTGGCGTCGAAACAGTCGCAGCAAAAACTAACTGGGTGCGGCAAGCAGGCCAGGTAGCTCCAGCCTCCTTGGCTCTAGCTCGTGCCTCACGCAAGGCTGTTGGTGCGGCTGCAGTGCTGGGCATTCCTCTTTACTGCTCAACAATCGTTCTTAAACAATTTTCCGTGGGACAAAATACGATGTACGACAAGCGAATATTTCCGTCACCGCTACTGGGGCATCGCTTGCGAATAAACGTATTTCCTATTGCCTCGATACTTTTTCGTTGTGTTTCCGTGCCCGGAGGGACAATGTTCTCGTTAATGTTAGTGCGTTTGAAACAATAAAAGCTTACCTCCATGCGGGAAGAACTGTGCGTAAATTTCCTTGAACGTGTTCTCGTGTACCACGCCAGTGGGACAGACCTGTAGTCCAAGAAGAAAAGACCATCAGTACTCAAATTCGGGTGTTTTATTTCGTATGTTCGTTTATTTCTCACCCACCTTCTCCCCAGTGCAAGATAGCCTACCAGGCTCAGCCATAATTAACCTCCCTGCCTTTCTTTCATCCTTATTCTCTTTCTCTCTCTTGTGTTTTCTATTAATTTATGTTGCACCAGTTATCTCCTATAGATAAGCGATTATTTGGGCTCGTTAGTTATGTTACAGCTAACAAACAAATAAATAGGAATAACAGAAACAAAAATGCAAATTTTTTTACAAACGTTAACTAAACACAATATTTTTTGCACAAAAATACGAATCTCCACCCTATATCAAGAATTCATCTATTCTAGACGCGAGGCTTGACATCGCGTAAAAGTTGTCATGACAGCTTGCTGCTTCCACTGATCTCTTTTTCTGCTAGTCTAGAGACACGAGAATTTTAACGCTGTTTTATTCAGTGCCTCCTCTTTGGCTGTCACCGTTCATAATTGTACAGTTGAGAATAAAGCTTCCACCCAATTCAATCAGCCTCGATAATGTACACAGCAATAAATCAATAACATGTCTTCGAATGGTCTCTAAACCACCCAGAGGTAGAAATTTAGTTAGGGCGCTGAAGTTGTGCACGGGTCATCAACAAACACATAGCGAGTGCGCGACCCTGCGAACAGAAACAAACAGGTTAATTTTGTTGATGACGTAACCAAGCACGAGTGGTTACGTCAACTACAACACTGGGGATACCGTAAGGCGAAGAGAGAAGCACGACATTGTTTGTTTGTTTTTTTTGTCACTTGACGCGCCGGCAGCCCGCAGCGCTGCCACGTTCGCACTGTTGGTGGTGGCAGCATTCTGAACGTAATGCGCGTGTTTACTGGATATGTTTGAAAAAAAAAATATGTGGTTTAGAGACCACTTAAAAAACTTACACAGATAAAGTAGTATTTATGGTTGCATGTTTTCTTACTTGACAGTATTGAAAAGAAGAGGGGGAGAAGGGGAGTCGAAGGTGGTATCGTAATTAGTGCGAGTTGTAACGCCTTCGTGATCGATCACCGCAACAGCTGTTAACGCAATCGCAAAAAAACAATAATAAAAATAAAGATGGCTTAGCTTCGCCAATCGACATGATCCTGTTCAAAAGCGCATTAGAAAGTAGGCCATAGTAGCATCGAGAACGTCCTTGCTCGATTTTGCGCATGGGCAAAGCCAATTTATAGCCTTGACCAACCATCAGAATCAACCCGTTAAGGTCCGAGAAATTCCAAGAAATTTTGGATGAACCAAGAGTGTCCTGGGCATGGCCGTTGTACAATATCGTCCAATGTCATTCCTATCCCGTATATATAGGACATGGCGAAATTGTGCATTAATTGGTTCTCAATTTTGCCGTGCAAATCCACTCTGCTACTTAGTGCAGCTCAAACCTCGTGTTCTCACTGAACATTCGCGAAACCTCTGCAAGTAGGACAATAATAGCTGCCGAGATTTTACGTCTCGAAACCACGACTTGTTATGAGAGACAGCGGCTTCGGTAATGTCGACCACATGTTCTAAACCGTACGCACTCCAACCTAACACACGGGCGAGTTGCCTTTGGCTTTCATTGAAATGCGGCGTCCACGGCCGGGATTCGATCACGTGACCTTCGTGTGAGCACTCGATCACCATAGCTGCTACACAACCACGGAGGTTTATAGGTGGGACAAGAGTACCTTTACACACAAAAGAAAACACGGAAGCAAGTTCTGTAGGGCGAACTGCTGGGTTAACTGATAAGGAAACTTGTTGCGAAGGCGTGCCACTTCAAAACGGTATTGAAAAGAGCCAGTTCGCTCATTGCTATTACTGGTCCGGGCAGCGCAACAAAGCAACTGGTAACTATAAGAGAAGACAGACAGGGACGTCCTCGTCTGTCTTCGCCTTGTACCTCGTTTTCAGCTCCGCAGATGGAACTAGTGCTAGCACGCTGCCTCGCAACGTCGTTCTGATATACGCGGAGACATTGTGCGGTACGTACCTGCTTGAATCCCTGGTACATGAACTTGAGCTCCTGTCGCGAGAACTTGGTGGTCCTGCAGAGGTCCTCGATGCGCTCGGGCTGGCACCGCACCGCCGCCACCTCGACCTCCTCGACGGGGTCGTCGGCTGCGCCAGAAAAAAGAAATGAGAACAGCGTGGAGGTGAGAACAGTACAGCTCGTTAACGGTCGTTCATAGTTCGCCACAAACATATCGACGCAGCAACCGTGCAGTAAGCAAAGCTCACAGAATGCCTTGGACATCCGCAAAAAAAAAAAATTGAAACCAAAAGTTTTGTTATTTTGTTCTTTCCAAGTCAATATATTCACTATTACCCCCCCCCCCCTTTCCCCTGCCCGAAAGGGCTTCCGGGGTTGGCCCTTCTTTCACCAATAGAAGATGTCCTCTGATGACGTCACAAATTTAGGTAATGGGGAATGAGAAATGACGTAATGTGACGATGTCATCCCATGATTTTTAGTGTTGCCTCGTGCTCAAGCCACCACCGATAAGTATTCGCGTTTGATGATGTATTCATAAATCTGATGTGTGGGGTTTAACGTCCCAAAACCACGACAAGATTATAAGATACGCCGTAGTGAATGGCTCCGGAAATTTCGACCACCTGGGGTTCTTTAACGTGCACCCAAATTTGAGCACACAGGCCTACAGCGTTTCCGCCTCCATCGGAAATGCGGCCGCCGCAGCCGGAATTCGATTCCTCGACCTGCGGGTCAGCAGCCGAGTACCTTAGCCACTAGACCAACGAAGTGGGGCGGTATCCATAAGTCTGTCACCGTAATAAACTGCGGTGAACTTTCGGAAACGTGTCAATGATTTATTGGAACCGATGACAAATTGCTGAACTCATGATGTTTTTTTCCCCTGCCGACATTAACTGTTCCACTATTTCTCATCAGTTTACATAATAAATAAATAAATAAATAAATAAATAAATAAATAAATAAATAAATAAATAAATAAATAAATAAATAAATAAGAAAATAAATTAATAAGTGAATAAATAAATAAATATTGCTCCGTCCTGGCCTGAGCAGTGTCGTGATACGATTCCCACGGGTAACGTTGGTTACCTTATCTCCTTTCTCAACTGATTAAAACGCTCACTGCTTTCATCACCGAAGTGTGCAGCGCCATCGAATCAGCCCCATTAATTCGAGATATAGCTCCACGACGAATAAACCATTTTTGTACCGACATCTGCTTATTTAAGTCAATTTAAAAAAAAAGACATACAACTGCTTTAACAAAAAAGGAAATAAAAAAAAGTCCGGCGATATATGTAGGAAGAGACGACAGAAAGTCAGTGCCACTTGAAGAATGCTTGCAAAAGCCGACGTGGTTTATATAAAGAAAGAATGAAATGCCAAAGTGCCCCAAAAAACAGTGAAAAAAAAAAAAAACTTGCGCTGTGAGGCAAATTAGAAAATAGTGAGCCAAGATTAGACGCGAGAAAGATGGAAGAAACATTTTAGATTAGGTAACCGAAATCGTTTTACAGTTTCGCAAAAAAAGCTAACATCGAAAGCGTTAGAAACAAAAATTTTAAAAGGTGGCCACACACTAAAAAAAAACAATGTCACTAAAAGAAAGACGCGGTCTGACGAGATTTACAATGGCGAAACTAAAATGTACGACGCGTGGATCCCCCAGCTTGTTATAGAGATGGCTCTGGACGTTCGTCAGCGTCTTTTATTTTTTAACACACGCTTTTTTCGTTCTAAGTTATCTCAAGCACTCAGCTGCGTAAAACCGACATCACTAATGTAGAAATAAAGTGATGAAATCACGCATTCACGTATGTACACGTTCATTTGACAGCCTTGCACTTCCAGGTGCTGCCCAGAGTTCGAGTTCCTACATATCGCATATCTGTCAAATAGTGATGCATTCCGTGACATACTGACCAGTAATCTCGCTGAGTAAAGTATAACTTATTAGTTGTTAGCATTATCACAAGTCACAAGAAAATTAGATGACGCAAACCTCTGGGCAAAGGAAAGAGCATAAAATTTTGACGCTCTTTATTTTTGCCTATTATTCCCGGGTTGCTTGCGTCACCTAATTTTCCTGTAACATGCACCAACTAGCCCAGCAACAAGTTAACAGCATTGTCGTGGCGTGCTGTCTGTGTTACTCATCAAACGAGATATTTGACCATAGGCGGTGACAGTATACCACGGCGTCGGTGACGTGTGATGCAAAAAAAAAAAAGGTCAGAACATGTTGACGTCACATGTCTCAAAAACTTGTGACGTCGTCATGCCGTCACATCGCACATCACGTGACGTTACGTCGTCTACTGAGTAGAAAAAGCTGGCCGCCGCCTTCGAATCGTCGGCCGTCGCCTTCGAGTTCGTAAATGAAGCAGCGCTCCCCTCTGCAGGCTAATGTTCGAAGCCAAGGCGAGTATGCAGCTCCAAGTCACGCAGAAGGTTTAAGCTCGTGACCAGACTCGAAGCGTGGTTCGATGTAATTAAGTTAGGTGTCCGTGACTTCGTTTTCAACTCTGCGCAGCGAGAAACACCAGTGTCGCCTCTCCCCCAGTTACGCGATCTACGGGCTTCAATTAAGTTTAGGAACTTGCCGCAGCTAAAAAATGTTTGTATACAAAAAATTTTGATTAAAAAGTAGAATTGTGGATGTTATCAAGGTATAATTAGGTTGAGCCTCTCGCTTGATTCGTCTGGCATTTCCAACTGTTCCATTTGCGAATGCACAGGCGGAAATTGCCAGTATAAAAAAAGTAATAACAACTAAAACTACGCTCGTTTTTGGAACTGAAATCACGCTTGCCTGAGCAAAAAGCCCGATCTAAAAGGCATCTGGGCTTCCATAATGCTCAAATAACGTGAACCACTCAGTTATTACATAAAAGTAGTCAAGACGTATACCAAGCTGAACTTTTTACAACGAAACCCGGATTTAACCAAAAAGCAAGTCAATCGAAACTCGGGCCATATGCCACACACGTAAAGGGAGCTCGTCCGATAAGAATTTCGCTCGAAAATCCGAACTTATGAAAGTGAATACTTGGGGTGTAAGCATTTTTTTGGATGTCAGTTGTTACTGTGACGGTTAGGCTGGAAGTTATTCTTCGGTGGAATATTTTGTAGTTCGTATATTCTATAAAATGATTAGAAGAGCGCGAAACCAAACCAGTTCGTAGATAATCATGATTGAGAGCAGCGCAAGGGTGCAAACACAGAACAGGGACAGAGCGACGCGCCTTAAACTTTCTAGGAGTGTGCGGGTTTCTTAATTAGCCTTTCCGCACAGAGCGATGGGACTTGAACTTTCTAGGAGTATTCAGGTTTCTTAATTAGCCTATTTGGGTCAAAATAAAAATAACGCTTTCGATTAGGATCATGTTGCGGCCTGAAGGGCTGACCGGCATAACTGTTGCAAAAGAGCCTACTCAGCGATAAGAAACGCATCTTCCCCAGATGACGGTGGAGGTATGGCATTTAAATAATATTTCATATTCCAAAGAAAGCGATTTATTCCCGTTCAGGTTGCCCGGGTCACTTGGCTGCAAACGCACTTTAGTTCTGAACATAAGGAGACGTGTTCGACCCTCGGCTTCTAGAAACGTGCAACGTTTTGAACTATGACACGAAATCAAGGACGCTCCGTGACTGAAATGTAAGAGGGACTATCTAACACCTGGCCCTTTTAACATAAGTCTGCCATCTTGATGGGACCTCGTGCTTGCATACTGTGTCAAGATCAATTAATTAACAAATAAATAAACATTATTCGCTAATTACTAATAATTAGTCAATCTGTTCATCAATAATAAGACAGATAGACCAACCGAATACGTTGCCACAAGAACATCGCTTTCAAGCGTGGTCAGTTTAGATTGATACACCCATCCAATAAGATATCATGTAAGTATACATCAATCAAACAAGTAATCAATGCGTTGACTGATTAGGTGGTGCAGCTGCACTGTTTACGAAGCAACATAACTTCCTTCTCTCGAAACATGCAGGCGCACGTTTCAGGCTTATTAGAGGCCTATGTAAATAGCGGTGCACAAATATGTGTTGCCACTATGATATACAAATATACCTTGCAACGGTGTTGACATTGCCATTGCGATGACATATCTTTGGAAGCGAGTGCTTGTACTATATATATAACATGACAGTCCAGAAAGGTGATAGGCCCCTGTTGGAGGCTCGACAATCAAGGAACCAGGACACGCAATGAATATTGTCTTTCAGATCGTGCTATAAACCAGCACTAAGTCCTTATCAGAAAATAATATAAACCGGAAGCCCTATCGGGAAAACGAGGCCAAGTGAAGCTTTCCTTCTTTTCTTCTTTCATACTCTTCTATGGCATTGCGCAATGCTCCTTCTAATTTTTTCCCCTTCCTGAATGCCGCAAATTAAACCTTTTGCTTCAAATACCAGCAACGGTGATGCGCGAAATAAGGAAAGAAAACAGTGAAGTGAGGAAACGTGAAATGACAATTTACTGCAATAAACGACCACACACTGGCGAATCGGAATCTGCTGATCGGCGATAAACTCTCGGTTGAGACACCATCATTTATTGAAAAACAGTGTATACAAATATGCATGTTGTCGGCACGCCTTTGGGGGCCATTTTCCTGTAAAATAGCCGGGGCCGGATTTCACGAGTATGTAAGTGCCACACAAACTTGTGACGTATGACGAGCTTCCTGTTAATGCTGCTCCGAAAAAATCGATGGCATGGATTATTTGACGTATTAAAACGTCGGGTTTTCAGACCTATCTGGCTTACGTATCACAGCGCGTTATAAGGAAAAAACAACATGCACTCGAAAAAAAAAAAGCCTCCGTTTATTTTACCCAACATGGAGCGTGGTATGATTACGCAAGAAGTGGGCGTGTCAGCGCACCTGTCGTCACCCAATCACATGCACGAGCTATCAGCTTACTTTTGTGACCTCACCATCCAGAACGCCTAGCCGTTGCTTACGTACGCAGGGCTGAAGAAAGCTATATACACTGCATCGTGTATATATATAGGTCATATATAAATATTTTAGTCGTGGAGCTTCGTAACGGTACACTACAGGGAAATATTGGCGCTAGTAT